TGCAGCGTGGGTTTGATTCCCGGCCAGCCAGGGAGCAACCCACATGGTGTGGCAGACCTCTCCTGCCTAGCCCACTGCTCCCCTCAGCAGTGTCTTTGGTCAGTCTTCCTGTTCTGCTTCCTGCCCTGTCTCTGGCGAATTCTCTCACCCTCCCGTACCTCTGACCTGTACCCTGGTTCTTGTAAAAATAAATAAATCTTAAAACAAAAAGAGTCCAGAGGGGAGGTCTTTTGGAATTTCTCCTCCCAGATGGGAGGCCTTTCTCTGATTTGCTCCAAGGTTTCTAAAATGCACCATTGGTTCTTGGATCCCACAGTACCCCTGTTCGCTGCCAGAATCTCCCATGGCCCCCGAAATTGTTACCCCCAGAAAGGCTTTCCTGTACTCTAAACTCCAGATGGGATTTTCTGTGCTGACACTACTTTAAGCACCCTGGGCAAGACAGGGGTCTCTGGGGCTGTTTGTAGAGCACGCTTCAGGGGCTCATTGCCTTGAGATCTCTCCACCCCAGGAAGACAAGGCAGGCTGCAGAGACCCCAGGGAAGTCTAGCCTTTCAGCTCCTGATTACAACACCTGCTCCCGTTCCCCCTTCCCTTCCATATGGAGGTTGTCTTTGACCAGTGTGGGCTTCCTTCTCTGCCTTCCCGCTATTGGTTGCCTGGGGTGGGCGGTCAGAATGAAACAGAAGAGCCGTTTTAGAAGCTTTGGACAGCGGGAAAGTGCCTGGCCCTCCAGCATCCAGCAACCACCAGGGCTTCCTCTGTCATCTAACTTCCCAGCCCCGGGCCCACATGCCTCTGCGGTGACAAGAGGAGGCCCAGGGCAGGCGGCCCTCTTCATCCATCAGAACAAACCAGCAAGTGGTGCCTGTGTGTACATTTTTCTGCTGGTCCCCAAAAGAGCAATGAAAGCCCTTCATTCTGCCAGACAGACCTTCCCAAAATCAATCGAACAAGCAGCTGAGTAGAATTGTTCCAGGCATAGATTTTTCTTTCCATTTGGAGACTCGCTTTTATTTTTTCCCCCTTTTTCATAGTTGAGACTGAGATGGGCATTGCTCCAGTAAAGCTCCTCTCCCCCGACAGATGTACATGTTCACATGCTGAGCACTTTATGGCAGAGAGAGAAAAAAGTCATAACATCAGGAGAGTAAAGATGTTTAAAATTTGGGGAGAGAAAGTGAAGAACCTGTTTATTGATGAATCAGAATAATTGTGGGTCCAAGGGGAGTGGCTGAAGTCTGAAAGCTGGGTAGTAACCCAAAGAGAACCTTGAACAAGCCAAGGGGTTGCAGAACTGAACTCTGAGTCCTTTTCCATCTTAAAGAGATGGTGGAAGTAGAGAACTAACACAGCACATTTGCAGAGACCTAGGCCAGGGATGGCCCTGAGCAGAGACAGCTTGGGGTGGGTGCCTCTGCTGGTGGAGGTCCCACTGTTATCCTTTCAGAGTTTTTCCCACAAAAGTTGTTGTATCACTGTCTAAAGAGCCATCTCCATATACATTGTGAATATTGCTGTGTACAAGGTCCCCACGGGGGTCATTTTGTGTAATAGTGGAGAGAGATGGGTGGATGGATGGATGGATGGATGGATGGATGATTGATAGACAGATCTTTAATTTATTTTGGAGTGTCTTTGGCTTATAACATTATATAGGTTTCAGTTATATAGATATCTGTCAGCATATGATACAGTATGTGCATCACCAAAAGTCTAGTTTCCACCCATATTTTGTGGGTTTTTTTTTTTAAGGAAGAAATTAACTTTACTAACATTTGATGCTTGGCCAGATCCTGGGGCCCTGGCTCAGCGAGTGTGTCTGGTGGTCTTACAGAGGAATTTATCCAAGAAGGGAGTAGGTAGTCAACCCTTTACACCAAGGCATGACGGGGTCTTGTGTGGAGGGTCTAAGACAACCTCCTGTTTAAGGATCCACTAGGAGGACTCCATATGTAGTTGTACTCACAGCAATGATTTGTCACAGCCAAAGAATATGCAGCAAATCAACAAAGGGGAAAAGCTCATAGAGAAAAGACCAGGGGAAGGTGGGGAGCGGGTGGAGGGGGATGCCAGGTGCAAGCTTCCCAGAGCCTCTCCCAGGGGAGCCACAGGGAAGAGCTTGATTCTCAGCAGGCAGTGAGCACACAGGCAAAGTGGCATCCACCAGGGATGAGCCCAGGGTTGTCACTGGGGGCTGTCACCTCAGGTACATACTGAGATCGCAGACTGGCAGGAAAGCCAGCGTGCAGCTAAGCCAAGTTGTTGACACAATTAAGACAGAGTCACTCTTATCAAGTTCCAGAGTCCAGCTCAGGCTTCAGCCTTGCCCACAGGTCTTCTCAGGACAGTCTCAGGCCTGCTCTGTTAACCTTTTCCTGCCCAGGCATTCTCTGCATTCAGTTTATGGCAACACACTGGATTTTCCAGATGGCAGCATATATTTATATTATTGAGTTTTAACTAACATAACTCATTTATATCATCCAGTCTTAATGAATTGAACCCTATAAAACCGACAAATGGCCTGGAAATGATTGCTTCAAAGAAAACATAAGTCAAAGCAAATATGATAATATGCTAATAAAGCTCACTGAAGTGGCACTTCTACCCAGAAGAGAAATCTTTGTGAGCCACATGATGAGGTAAAAATATTATTATTTTTTAATATCTTAACCAGCCTTTTGAAAATTTCATGTTCCATATTTAAAATTCCTTTTCTGGTTAGCCCCGGCTTGACGTGTGTGTGGCCATCGCCGGGGAGAATGGTCTAGGTTGGCCACCTACTCCCCCGGTGTATCCTTTCCATTTGACACAACTCCTGGGCTGGGGTGACTCTAATTTGAATTATGGAGAATGTTTGAGGAGGAAGCTTGGTATCTGTAGGACAGGAATACAGCGTTGAGTGCTAGACCAAGCGCTGGTTGAGGGAAATATCTTAAATGCTATGAGTCAGTTTCTTCATCTGCAAAGCGGTTTTCTTGCTCAAGTCATGACTCAAAACTAGTCACACTGGATTTTGTTGTTGTTGTTGTTGTTGTTGTTGTTTTATTTGTTTTTACAGTTATATACATAGCCTCTGGCCTATTAACACTGAATGAACAGATAAATGAATTATCAAAGGAACAAATGAACCAACGAGATGGTCTGTAAGGTCTTGTGCAATTCTGACAGACTAGAAACATGTAATCTGGTCATTGAATCAGCTCAGGTTTAAACTCCCAGTTACTGATTTGCTTGCTTTCTCTGTTGTATTTATTTTCCCAACACCCTTGTACTGTAATATGGGTAATAATGCCGCCAGCCTACACCGTCTCTAAAGAGCTGTGATTCATTCCTGCCTGTCTGATTTCTCCTTATTTTTGAAGTGAAGAAAAAGAAGAAAGATTAGTCCCGAATGGTACCATTGTAAGCAATCACACCTCACATATCTGTGTTTCTGAATAATTGATGTAATGCCATCACCCTTCCCTGACTTAGGGAGTCAGCCTTGCAATCTACCAAGCCAGTTCCAATTTTACAAATATATGGAAAGGGTAAATGTTCTATATTGGAAAAACTAAGGAGCTGACTTGCTAAAAAGGCAGTGTGAAGACACTCTATGGAGGGGTAGAAACATTTCTGAACTTTCTGCATGTGCCTGCAGCAAATCTGGGTGGAAGGGCCTGCCCACCAGATTGCTGTGTCCAGTTACTCTAGACATGGAGGCCTGACCTGTTGGCTCCAGCCTGGCTGTCTCTGTCTCCTGCCTAAGCCACCTTCTTGCTGTGCTTAACTGAGATAGGTGAGGGCCTTTCCAGGGAGCTTAGCTCAACAGAGCTGAGGGAAGCAGAGAAAAGACCAGACCTGCAAAAGGAGCTCACAGAGCACCCATCCTCTTTGTCCCAGAACTCAGTGTTTTGGGGCACAGCATGGAGCTTAGGAGTGTCCTGACCAGTCAGTGAGGTATTCTGGAAGGGCTGGGGTCTGGTCATGGGGGCAGTGCAGGTGTGTTAGGGAGTTGGTTCTAGGAGGTCCCCATGATCTAACAAGCCAGTGGCCAGGATCCAGGCTGTCGCCTCCAATCAGGGCTGGTAGTATCCTTCAGTCCCCCACCCAGAGGAAGGGAGCAGGGCAGAGCCAAGTATAAGGGAACAGGCTAGTGTCAGAAAGGCCCTTAGTTCTGAGCAGGGACCCTAGGTCCAAGTGTGGCCCCAGCAGCCAGGCTGACTGGACTCCCAAGGCCACCGGACACAATGGGAACCAAGTGGCCTGAACCTGGCTAGAAGGGCCTGACAATAGGGTCCAGGAGTTTCCACCCCTTTCTGCAAAAGTCAGAGGAGGCAGGCCCCTTGCGAGAGTGGATTGGTCATAGCCCTTCTCTCTTCTGGCCTTTCTTCCTAACTAGGCAGTCCCTCGAGGGCCTAGAGTTGGCCTGGGTGCAGCTGCCAGTTGGGTGCCCCACCTTGGGCCAGCTCTGGCTGAGTCCTTCCCTGCTCTATAAGATGGCTGGTTTGCTGAGCACTGGAGAAGGGCCATGCAGGCTCATTCACCTACCTCTTCTCAACTCCTGTGACTCAGAGTCCTCTCCTACCCCTGCCCACATCCCAAAAGCTGAGGGTCCTATAGAAGAGATCCCTGGGGGACCGCTGGTCTCTTGTAGGCTTAGCTGAGGAGACAGAGAATTTGGCAATCATGGTCCCCTCTGCAGGTCTGCCCTGCCCACCCCCATGTGAAAGGCACTGGGGCCCTCGGAGTTGTGGGTCCATTGAAGGCAGGGTTTAAATCTCATATACCTCCGCGTAGGACCCAGGTTCCAACACGGTGGCTCATAAAACTAAACGTCTATCAAATTGAAATACAATTGAAGGGCTATCAGTGCTAAGAAAGCTCTACCATGTAAGGGGGACTCAGAGGCACCTCTCTCCACCACTCACAGCCCCCACAGCTGGGGCTCTAGTGAGTGACAAGGTCTGTCCAGAAGGAAATGTTAATGCCTCTGTTTTTTTCATGGCCTCTAGGTCAGGACCTGGATTCTCACCGTGGGCTACACTACAGCCTTTGGGGCCATGTTTGCAAAGACATGGAGGGTCCATGCCATCTTCAAAAATGTGAAAATGAAGAAGAAGGTAATCATTCCTTCTGTTTCAGGGTGTTTACAAAGTTCGTGTAGCAGATATTTGTTGGGCACCTGCTCTGTGCCAGGTACTGGGCTGTTTGCAGGGGCTCAAGCTAAACACAGGCTCCTGGGGAGACTGTAAACCTAATAATCACAGTACATGGGGGTAAGGGCTGGTTGGTGGTGTGGGTGGATACTGGGATTCAGGCACTCAGGATAGGCCTCAGGAAGTGTCACCTAAGCTGAGACCTGGAGGGTGAGTAGGAGTTAGCCAGGCAGAGGCTGGGAATTGCTTGAGCTCTGTAGGGGGACCCATGATGGGGGTCTGGGGAAGGGAGGAATGTGTTCACGGAGCTGAGGGAGGCTCGGTATGATTGAGGCATGGGGTTTGTGGGGCCAGAGTTCAGGAGGAGGCTCAGAGGAAGACAGAAGCCATATTAAGGAATCTGAACCTGAACTTATGGGCAGTGAGGTTCCCTTGGAAGAGGGGAGTGGCATAGGCAGGCGCCTGTTTCCGTTTTCAAAGTGACCCTTAGCAGACACGCTCTGCCTGTGTATGTGGGAGAGCATTTGCCATCAGTGTGGCCAGGCAACCATCGTACTGACCAAGCTTGACTCTTGGGATATAGTCAGAGAGAAACTTTCTCCACCTCTATTCTTTTTAACTCTTTGGTGAGGCTGTTCTTTCCTCCTGAATGACATTTCAGGCGGATCTCATGATCTCTTCAGAGATCCTTTGGTCAATAGCTGGAGTCCTTAATAATATTGAAAACCTCAAACTGCATTCAAAGTCATAGCTTCTCCCTCCCCAACTCGGGCCAGCAACAGGCCCCCACCTGCCCCAGGAGAGGGGGTGCAGCCTGGCTCCTTCTCTCTATTGCCGGCTGGAACTTCTTCCCCATCACTCCATTCGCAACCCTGCAGAGTTGGAGCATGGAGTGGTGGAAGGAGCAGGAGAGCCCTTACTTGCCAGGAGTTGGCATTGGACTTGCTGGGCCTGTCAGAGGTTAAGCAGGCTCTTTAGACTCTCATGGGGTGCTTGTGTGAGATTTTCAAAGCCCCCATTGCTGGGACTTTCTCTCCTGCTGTGCCCTTGTCATAGGTGAGACACTCCACTGGCTGGCCACTTGTGGCTTCTTCCTCTACCCCTGCACATCTGGCAGTGCCCCCACTCCTGGACTCACCTGCCCCCCGCTTCTTGTGAGCGGGCCACAGCAGCCCTCCCTTGCCTGCAGTGCACAGGAAGCTTGTGCAGCCTTCGGACTCAAGGGTTGTGTGTTGCTCCCTGTGCAGCCTTCCCGCTCCCATTCCTCCCCCCAGAGCCTCCAGCCTGTCATCCCCTGTCAGTTTCCCAAGCAGGAGTCAGGCATCAGTACACTGGCACCCCCAGGCTTCAGGGAGCCCTGTCCATCAGGTCATTTGGTGGTCTGCTTGATACCAAGGGGGACCCATCCCGCTCCCATCCTCTAACCTGGGGGAGGGGTCTTGTAGCATCACCCAAAACTCCTCTTCTTGATTCAAACCCCCCACCCACTTAGCCCCATCTCCCACCCAGTACACAGTCTCTAAACCCCTCACCTGGAGATGACCTGTTCACAGACACCTCGGCAGATCCCTCATGGTGGTCTCACCCCGCTGTGGAAATTGTCTGTTGTCCCGATTCTCGCCCTAACTTGTGTTTGCCCTCCAGTTACCTGGGTGATCAGCCTGGCACCTGTGGCAGGTAACAATCATGCTCAGGGCACTGAGGCCAGCAGGAAAAGCAGAGGAGCCGACTTCTACTCCCAGCCTCATCTATGACCTGCCTTGCACGTTCAGCAAACCTCTTATCTTCCAGGGTCTCTGTTCCCCCACCTGTAAGGTGGGGTCATCCTGAAGTAGCATTACCTCCTGGGCTGTGATTCTCTCCCGTCTGGTGTCCAGGGGCCCCACTCATTTGTCAGCCTTTGCCAGCTGCTCCTTCCCCACCAGGGCTGCTCTAGGAACTACCTCAGATGACCTTGTCTGCCCACACCCCCGCCCCTCACCCAGACCACTTGGAGATAACTAGATGCTGCATTTGGAGGAAGGAAATGGCCCCTTCTGCTGCCCTACCTGTGCACGCCTGGAGGGCTCCTCCCTGGCCGGGCTCAGCAGCAGTGTGTGACAGCTCCTGCCTGCCTGTGAGATGGTGAGCCTGGGCCATCTCTCTCAGCCCCGCTGCCCATTACAGTCAAACAGAAGCTTCAGAAATCCACAAGAAGCCACCCTGCCCAGGCCGGTTGGAATCGCTTCTCCGGTTGGAATCGCTTCTCCGGTTGGAATCACTTCTCCGGCTGGAATCACTTCTCCGGCTGGAGCTATGTCAGGAGTTGGTAGGCCTTGCTGGGTGACGTCCCTGGGTCTCCAGATTAGAAGGAACCTCTAGCCCAGGTCAGGGCTACACAGCATGCAGTGGGCCAGCAGCTGCCTGGGTGCCCCGTGGGAGCTTGCTGGAAATGTTTATTCTCAGGCCCCACCCCAGCCCTAGTGTGACTCAGGCCCTGCAGTGGAGTCCAAGAAGGGGGTGCCGAGGCAAGCCAAAGTTTGTCAGGCGCTGATGACTTCTGGGGCCCTACCGCTCTGAGACTCTGCTAATGAGATGTTCTGCCCCTTATGACAACTCTGTAGTGGCTCTGAAGACTCACTGTGTTGATTCATTTGTGTCAATATGCGATGCATCCAAATCGTTACCTGTAATAAGAAGAGCCTTTCCTCCCCATCACTCATGTGTGCAGGAACACTCCTGTTGTCTGGCAATGCTGGACACATGTCCGGGGAGCCAGGGCCTCAGTTGTCTGAAAGCTGCTGGAGGCAGGGCTGTGCCCTGCACTGCATGAGCCGAGATGGGGCAGGGGCATCCCTCCAGTTCAGGGGGTCTGGCTGGTTGTAGGCCCAGGCATCTAGGGAAGGGCTCCTCTGGGACACTGACAGAGCCTCTCAATAGAAGATTCAGTCACCAGTTCTGTCTGTAGGAAAAATGATTAAGGCCAGAAATGATTTCTCACTCTATTCTGGGGTGAAAAACATCTTGATCTGGTATTTCTAGTTATTCCAAGAGCAGGTCTGTGATGCTACAGCTGAGTGTCATTTATCAACAAATTGGAGCAGGTTAAAGGTGTGGAGGGAAAATGTTTTTCTTCCACAGATCAAAAACACAAATCCAGGACCCAGATTGTTTTGTTGAAAGAATTGTGGTAACTGCAAGTCAAAACTGGGATTGAATTTTCCGGGATTCCAACCTTTTGTATAACCAAGCTTGGTTTTTACTATTGTTGTTGATTAGTTGGATTTATTTTAAGTTTGGTTTTCTTTTTCTTTTCAGTGGACCCCTTAATGTTTTATACGTACACATATGCTAGATTTATATTCATTTGTAAATGCAATCATTTACATTTTTTTATAATCTTTTATATAATCCTCTCCCACCCTCCCCAAATACACATATGCAAACTTCATCCGAGACAGCCAGGCTTTTGAACACATTGAAGGTCTAAGCATTTGCTTTACCAGTAAAAAATAAATAAATAAACATTAAAGGAAGTTTTGACACATGGTGACAATGAATCCAAATTCTGAATTTTTATATTATGTTTTCATGTTTTTCTAAAGATCAATCATGAAATCTTGAGTGAGAAATCTTATGAGAGTCTTTATTCTGCTTCTTACTGGGACCAAATTGAAACCTTGAGTTGAGCTATCACCCAGAGATGAGATCATCTGTTCTGGGGAGAGATGTGGTTTGGGGGAATTGAGAAAGTTCACAACAAGTATAACTTGATACTGCTGCAGAAAATAAGGTGGGGACACCCTTTCAGGAAACCCTCTCAGGGACACCCTCTGAGGGAGATGTTCACCCTCTGAGGGTGATGGAAACAAGGTGATGGAACTCAGGGCCACTGCATCACACAACTTTAGGAGTCACCCCCCATACTGTATTCCCCCTAGAACTAGGGAATGAGTTCCCCTTAGAACTAGGGGATGAGTCAGTCCTAGGAGAAGGCCAGTCTGAATCAATCAAAATATATGAAATTTTTAATAGAAGAAATACTCTTCTCTAACCCAGGAATTGACCTATTATTTTTTGTAAAAAGCTGGGTAGTAAATATATGTTAGGTTTTTCGGGATACACAGCCTCTGTTGGCAACCACTCAACTCTGCTGTTGTACAACAAAAGAAGCCATATAGTATACATAAATTAATGGGTATGGCTGTGTTCCAATAAAGTTTTATTTATAAAAACAAGTGGTGGGCCAGACATGTAGTTTGCTGATCCCTGCTCTAAACAGTGGAAGTGATAATTAATAGTAACAATTGACATCTGTTGAACAGTTATTCTAAGCCAGATTCTGGTAATCTACTGTTTTGTGTGGTTATCATCCTTATTTTGTAGATGAGGAAATCATCTCAGAGGAGTTAGGAAACTTAACCCAGGTCGCAGCTAGTTGTAAGATTCAAACTCTGATCTGATTCCTGGTGCTTAAGCATTCCTGGGTGCCTTCACTTCCATTTATCACTCAGTATAAATGAAGCACTAATAGCCCCCTAGTCTCGGAGAGAAAACTGAGTATCATGGCATCAATGTGCGCTAATATAACAGAAAGAAATTTATGCAACTTTTGAAGAGAAAATTAAAAAATAAGAAAGGAAATAGAATTGCTGAGGTGAAACTAAAGAGATGGTCTTGCCTAATGTAAGGATTCTCTGGTGCTCATATTTGCATGGTCAGGTCAGTGCTATTTTATAAAGTTGAATTTTTAGATCCTTTTTAAAAGGTTATTTGAATCATCTCTCCTTGACCTTGATTATGTATATGCATGTGGTATTTAATTATCAACTATTTGCAGCAACATGGATGGCACTGGAAGGGATCATGCTCAGCGAAATAAGCCAAAAAGAAAAAGAAAAATACCGGATGGTCTCACTCATAGCAGGAATCTAGAAAACTTAAATAAGGGACCAGGAAAATGAATATAAGAAAGTGAAAATCAAAATCAACAAAAAACTATGAACCAGAGACACTTTTTGGGGGGTGGGGGGCGGGAGGGGAAGGATTGGGGTCAGAATGGGGCATTTGCAATTGTATGGGGGAATATAAAAATAAAATTTAATATTTAAAAAAAAAAAAAAGAAAATAAAGAATAAAAAAAAAATAATTATCAACTATTAGTTTGCCCCACTATCATCCATGCACAATAAGGACAGACACTACCAGGTGCTTTTAAAAGTTATCTCATTTTACTCTTAACTAATTCTGCAGCTCAGGGCTCACAAGATCACATTTGACAAGAGCTGGGATCAGAATAAGGGCTTCCGAATCCAAACAGATGTTTCTCTTGCACCATACTTAAAGATAATATATTAGTCTCCTCCTCCCTGCCTCCCTACTCCCAGCACTTCTTGCCATTTTACAAAGGAGAAATGCTGGGCCTCCCCTGATGGCACAGTGGTTGAGCGCTGGGCTGCAAAGCTGCCCTCAGCCTCTGCAGCGCCTGTTCCATCGCCAGTGAGGGTCCCACATGGTGCGACAGACCTCTCCTGCCACCTGCTGCTCCCCTCAGCAGTGTACTTCGGTCCTTCTGCCTGTTCTGCTCCCCGCTCTGGCTCTGGTGAATTCTCTCACCCTCCCGCGCTTCTGACTGTACCCAGTGCTTGTATAAATAAATTAATTAATTTTTTTAAAATTAAAAAAAAAAAAGGAAAAATGCAGAATGAGAGAAGTGATTTGCCCAGGATCACATGGATAGTAAGGGATGGTACCAGGACTCAAATCCAGATCCACATAACTCCAAATCCTGCTTTCCATGTTACCTCAGACTTCCTACTTGAGCCTTAAAATTGGAAGGACCTTATTACATTTGCCAGAGGAAATTTCTGGTGCTCATCTTTTATGGCCAGCCATACCACCTAGGTGTCCTCCCCCTTCAGGCAGCAGAAGGAAAGACACTGCATCCACTCAGAAGGAAGTTCTGCTCTAGTGGCAGGTGACTCACTGAGTGTGGCCCACCATGTTTTTCAGCCCATTCCATTCAGTGTGTCACTTCTTATCCAGTGTAGACTGTGCAATCCCAACAGACCCTGGTGCATAGCTATTCCATACTCCTGTTCCTTATGAGCTCTGAGGAAGAGTCCAGGAGAAAGGGCATGGCTGAACAAATTAAGGCCACTGGCCCCTTGAAATTAGACTACAGGAAGAATGGAAGTCCTTTTGAATTAGGAGAAATCTGAGGCAGAGGCAGGGACTGGAAATGCTGGCACTTACTGGTGGGGAAGAGGCTGAGGCCAGCAGCTCTGCTTGCCCGGTGTTTGTGGCATCTTCAGCCTCACTTCTGCCCAAGTATTCACTGCTTGGTCACTGCTCTGGATTGGGCATCCTCCCTGCTCACCAGGACAAGTGTCCCAGCTCCTAAATGGCCTCCTACTTTAGGCTCATGCCTTGGGTCCACTGTCAATGCTGTAGAGATCAGCCTATCACTCCAATGCTTAAAGATGCTTAAACCTCCAGCAGGCCCACCTGAGGCTTCATTACATGGGAGCAGGTGCTGCCCCTCCAGCTAGTCCATCTTCATCTACTTCCAACCTGCCCCAACATATCCAGCCACACAAAACTACTCAAAGAAAGAAAAGGGTGTTTCATACAAGAAAAAAACAGCCCCTATGAAGATCTGGAAAGTGAAAATCATGATGCAGCCACAGACTAGGGAGTGGCTAAAGCATCCTCATGGTAGTCATGTGCGTTTGGGAAGTGGTCAGCCCACCTCACAAAAGATCTTGAATGTCAAACAGAGCTTGGCTGATTTTTTCCTATAGGTGATGGGGATCTTTGGGAGACACTTGAACCTGTGGTGACATGAGTGGTCACTTGGGTCCTTAGGTTGCTGACATTCTGCCTCTGCAGCCCCCATGGCCTCCAGCAATCCTCCCGGTGCCCATGTGACACGTGTCTCTCCTCCCTGTCCTCCAGGCTTCTGATGGGTGACACCAGGGTTTGCCCAGCTCTGGACTCTAGTGCCCAGCACAGGGCTTGGCACCGCATGAGTACTTGGGCAGATTTTCCGAGTCGTCATCCATCACTCAGTATTTATCAAGCACCCTTCTCTGCCAGGCCTCAGATGGGTAAGAAGAATACAGCAGTGAGCAAAATCCAAGTCACAAGGAGCTCACAGTTCAGTAGGACAGACAGGAATCAAATTATCATACATATAAATGTGAAGTTGCCACTGTCTGTCATAAGGGGCTTCAAAGGAGATGGATGTGGCCATAAATTCCAGCGAAATGTTCTCCTGCCTTGCAGCAGAGATGGAGAGAAGATGTGTTTCCCTGATGGGTTTGGGCACTGTCAGGTGAGGAAGGGGTAGGAGCCCCGACTGGACAGGTGGAACCCCCGTGGGCAGTATAAACTGAGCCCCAAGCCAGACACAGTGACCTTGAACTTGTTCAACAGCACCACGTTCTCCTGGCCTCTTCCCAAGAGCTCATCATTCATACCCACACATCCCCAAGAAGGTCTGAGAGCGGTCTGTGCACAAGAACCTGCACACCAGACTTGGTTCTTGCATCTGTGCTGACTGGAGCAGTCACGGCAGCCCCCCATGTGGGGGGCTCACCCAGGTTCACAGAGAAGCTGCCCAGGCTCAACCTTGAATTCAGGTAGGAGGTAACAGCAGAAAGGTGGGGAAGACCCTCCAGTGCTCAGGCCAAGAGTGGGCAAATGCTTGGGAGCTCAGACAGTCCTAGGTGAGCATCAAATAGAGGGGCTCCTTCCAGCCTGTCCCCTGATTCTGAAGCTCCTCAGGTACTTCTTCCTTTTTCCCAGCTTCTCCAGGCTGGCAGAGCTGCTGATTCCCCAGAGAGTGAGAATTAAGCCAGGTTTCTGCAAAGCATAACTTCACTGGTTCACTGGATGCTTCTGGAAAATCTCAGAGAGGACTTTGCCAGTGCCCTGTCCACCCCGCCTCCCCCATGCCATAAAGCAGTTTCAGTGGATTTGATCTCTTTGGCAGTCACTCAGAAATATGTTCTTGTTCTTTTCGTTATTTGGCCACAGAGAGGCTGCTTGAGTTTCTATTTCTTCTTTAAAAAACAGCTTCCATCGTTAAAAGCCAGATTTGGTGATATTTCTAAAGCTTCTGCCTCAATTTTGTTTCTTTTTTCTATAGTCTTTTTCCAGAATGACTTCATCACATTAGCTTTTATTTAGTGCAAATAGGGAGGCCCATAAATGTGCAGTAAGTGAAATACAGGTTAGCTGTGGCGCTGACAGCACTTGTCCTCAGGCCAATCCCTATCCAGAGGACTAGAGTGGGGTGGGAATTTTACAGTGTAATAAAGTTATCCTGGCTGCAAAAAAGGATGGATGTTGTGTTTCTTCTTTTTATATTTCTTCATCTCAATTCAACCCATCAAACGTAAGTGCCTACTGCATGCCAGGTTCCACTAAGTAATGGGGGAACACAAGTAAGTTAAAAGAGCTCCCCTTCTGTCTGGGGCTCCCCAGTTTATTGAATAGGGCAGGTGTGTATACAACTCTATATAGTGTCAAGTTGTGCCGTAAATGTTTGAAGATGTGGATACTAGAGAAAGGAGGAGCTTGGGTAAAAGCTGGGCTTCACCTCTTAGGAATGATATTATGATGAACAAGTTACATAGCCCACACATGCCTCATTTCCTCAGCTATAAAGTGGGAATGAAAATAATATGAGGTGATGTTTGTCAAACAGTCAACCTAGAGGCAGACACAAAGTACGTGTTCATTAAATGTTAGCTCTTCTCCTTGTGGTTAGTGCTTTTACTACTCCTGATGACTACATGAAAAAAGTCTGTGGATGGATGAATCAGTTCCATTATGGGAGTCCAAGGGGACTTCACGGAGGAGGTGACAATGGAACTGTCTCCTTAAGTATTATTAGGAGTTTGCCAGACCCAAAAAAAAGGAAGTTTCAGACAAAAGAACCAGTATTTACGAAGTCCTGGGGGAAAGGAGATTGAGAGTAAAAATCACAGCAGGGCCAGAGGCTGGGAGGCACCCAACAACTAAGTTAACTATGTATGCATGTATGTTGGGGCCAAGGTCATGAAAGCCTGAATGCCAAGTAAAGGAACTTAACTGGGTTTATCCAATGGGTCATGGGGAGTCTCTCAAGATTCTCAAACTGGAGGTGACACAACTCAGTCACCCGACCCCTCAGCTGCTGCCTGGGAATCTCTCCCTCATGTCCACTCCCTTTTGCTTTGCCCCTCCTGCAGATCATCAAGGACCAGAAGCTGCTTGTGATCGTGGGGGGAATGCTGCTGATCGACCTATGCATCCTGATTTGCTGGCAGGCTGTGGACCCCCTGAGAAGGACGGTGGAGCAGTACAGCATGGAGGTAAGAGGCACCAACGGGGGCACAGGCTGGGAGGTGGCATGTCACCCTGGCTGCCCCAGGTGCACTTCTTGAAAAGACACCATGTGGTTACAGGAAAATCAGCACAGCTCCACATGGGTCCACCTTCCCTCTCAGGAACGCCCCAGCAATTGCCTTTCCTTCCATTTGACACATATTTCAGAAGAGCCGAATATAAGATCTTCACTCCTGGAGGAAAAATGGTGAAAAAATTGTCTCGGCACATTAAAATATGCAAAATTGAGGGGAATGTTGGCTATTTAAGAATATATTCTCTATGCATTGCAGAAGCCCCCACCTATATGATTCATCAGTTCAGAAATTATGTTGCATTTTTTTTAAGATTTATTTGTTTATACATACAAGAACTGGGGCACAGGCCAGAGGTGCAAGAACTGAGAGGATTCACCAGAGACAGAGTGGGGAACAGAACAGGCAGACCAACTGAAATACACTGCTGAGGGGAGCAGCGGGCAAGACAGGAGAGGTCTGCACGCCATGTGGGTACCTCCTTGGCCGGGGATCGAACTCACATGGCAGAGGCTGCAGATAGCTTCATAGGTTGCGTCTCAACCCCTTGCACCACCAGGGAGACCCTATTTTGCATTTTTAATCTCTCCTTTATAGTAAGTTTCCAAAGGAATGCTACTAGAGAATAAATATTCTGATGGCTCCTTCTAGTAACTATATGATTTTCAAAATGATAAGCAATAGATTTCTTTTCCTACACTTGTTATCGGAAATTTGTCATTAAAATAACCTTACATCAGAGTGCTGTCAAATATAGCTTGTAAATGTCTTACCTTCGACCTTGCCCTTGATTCACACTGGCCTCCCTAGTATGCTCCAGATTAGGAAAGTTCAAGACCCTTCAGAAGTTGCAGTTTTGTGAACTTTCTCTTAGAACAGTGAAATACACCCTTGTCAGAGGCCACCGGGTGAACAGCCAAGTTGTGCGGTCCGGTGTAAATTCTACATGGGGTAGCAAATTCTCTTGAGAAACTGGGGTTTTCCCCAGTCTTCTTGTTATCATCAGGAAATGTTTTTGAGGGATTTACTGTGAATTCAGAAACTAAAGTGTAAATTGTCATTATATGCATTCGGAACAGATTTTTTATCCTTCTGGACAAGGTGTTCTAGCAAATAACATGCCCAGCCTCATTTGTCTGGAGACAAAGGGTTTACTCAGCCTAGTAACAAGTTATGCAATTGGAAAAGTAGCAGAAAATGACATTTTCTAGGGTGTGAATTTAGGAGAGAGATTAAGGCTGTAGTCTCCACCTCACTGCCTCATGCATCCATGCTGGGAGCAAGCAGGGCTTCATTGGGGCACAACTGAACCTGGCACAGAGAATGGACCCAACACTGGCAGTGCCCATGGGCCAAGGGGGCAGACAGCCTCTTTCCAGAGCAAAGTGGTCACTATTCAGGGTGCACCATTGGCAATGAAACAGTCCTGCCCCTAACTCTGTCCTGGGGAATACCCCCCCAACCACCAGGATTTAGAAATCCACAGTGTCAATGCTAAGAAGAACTGTTACTGACTAATTGGGTCCCCCTCTAGAGAGAGCCTGGGGTGCTGATAATCACAAGCAATATTGCTAATAATAGTGATGATGATGATGATGATGATGATGATGATAGCTCTGTGCATTAACTCATTTAACCCTCAGTCACTAATTACACTGTGGAACAGGTGTTATCCTTTTTCTATGTTAAGGATGAGGAAGCAGAAACCTGGACGCGTTCTATACCTCACCCATAGTTACCTAGCAGGTCAGTGGTAATGCTAACAGCAGGTAGTGCTCACCACATCCCTCCCCTGCCTTTCAACAATGGACAGCACTTTGCCATTTTTAGGGGCTTTCATAGACCTTTGATCACTGGCCACAGATCTGTGACGTATAGAGCATAGGAAAGCATTTTCACATTCTACGGGTGACTAAACTTGGAGTCGTGGCAGAAGAGAGGGCCCAGGATACCAGGGAGATGAGAGGTGAGTCAGGCAGAGCCTGTGGAAAGATCTGGAGCGGCAGCAAGTGAACATAGACCAGGTCCAGCTGGCTCCAAGCTGAGCCCAAGGGGCCACTGCCTGTTCAAGGCTAAGCCGAGGGCACATCTTGGCATGCACAAGAAGTCCCCAAGGCTCCACTGTGGTGGGGAGAGGCTGCAGGGCTGGAGTTTGACTCCAGATATAGATCCAGGAAGTAGAGCCAGGAAGCATGTCCCCCTGGACCATTTTAAGGAAATCAACCTTCTGAAATCCAATTAGTCAAAGTGACAATTTGCTCTAGCCGTTGTTACCTTTCTTCCTTGCTTCCTATAAAAAAATATCGCTGCTCATGATGGTGCTGTGCATGCAACCCTAGCCCGTTCCAGACTTCCCGGGACAATGAGTCTCCAGCTGAGGAGGGGTGGGTTCCCTGTAAGTGCTCTCTGTGTTGATGAGGAAACTGATCAGGGAATAGGGAGGGTGCTCCCTGGGGAGGGGGTTGCTCTCTGGGGGTACGCTCCCCGGGAGAGCATATGCAGTCTTTCCAAGGGGAAGCTTGGGGAGAGCCAGCTCCCTGGCTCAAGGCCCAAATACTCTGCCTCTGTTTCCCTCCAGATATCTGCTGAGATTTCTCTCTGAACCTTTTCTGGCCTGCTCCTCTTTTTCTACTCTTATTTTAGGGTTGTGTTGGTCGAGCAACACCACACTGATAAAGACACAGGAGTCGTGGAGCAGGCTGCACAAGGCAGGATGCTGCTGAGAGCAAGATCCTGGCCGTTTTTATTGATAGAAATAATCATAGAGCATCAGCTATGTGTGTTAGGAGGACAAGGAGAAAAGGATGGGAGAAACTCAGGAATGTCATCTAGGGCTTGGGGACACGAGTCTGCTGACCATGTTATCAGATTGATGACCAAGTGTGGTCATCGAAACTAGACCCAGACCACAGTCCTAATCTTATCAACAAGGCATTCCACTGATCGGCCTTTGGGGTCCCTTGTCCAGCATCGGTCCTCGGCCCCCCGGGCGTTCCCAGTCATACCTCATGATGTGTGAGTCGGGAGTAAGTTTATGCATCCGTCCTCAAACCACCCCCCGGGCGTTCCCAGTCATAGCTCTTGATACATACCCTTCCCAGAGTGATCAAGCTTTCTGCTCCTGATTGATATGAAAGGCACCTTGCAAGGTTTGTCTCATTTGACTGTGACTGGACAGTTCTGACCTTTGTATAGGAATGCAGAACTGCAGGTAACCATAATGGTGGCTGAGCAGGCCGCTTAAGTCTAGCAGCCGCTTAAGTCTAGCAGACCCACAGGGTTGCCCTGTAGCGGTTGCCATGGTAGCAGAACCCTTTGAATTGTCAGTTTATTGTTGGTTTTCCACCAAACAGCACCAAACTATCAGTTGATTTCCCCCAGACGCTGCTCTGTCAGACTTGGCCTGATAGTTGAACAGTGTATCTGGGGATGAGGCATCCTAAATTCTCCTTCCAGGGGCTGTATTTCCCAGGACCCTCAGCGACAGAGGAAGATGAGAGATCTGTGTGGCCTCACACTCCTCCCTCCCCTACCTCCATGCCTGTGATTGCTCTGGACTGAACCTCTCCATATTCCAGCCACAGGCCTTGCCGTGTGTTACTATTTCAAGCCTTTACCCATGCTGTTTCCCTACCCCGCATTCCTTTCCAGAACCTTCCCTGCCAAGTAAATCACTTGACCTTTCGTACCAGACCCCTGTTTACCTTTCTGGGAACATGTCCCTGAGTTCCCTGGCTCCACCAGATCTAAACCCTTCTCTCCCCCTTCCCACCCCAATGTCCTGATTGCCCCTCTGTGGGAATACTTAGTGTTCATATCCCTGCTGTGTGTGTCCCTGCCATCCACGGGACAGCTAGCTTCTCCCCAGGCAGGGCCACATCTAAGCCATCTCCTACGTAGCCCAGCCCAGCTTGACCCTTGAAAGCTTCTTCCACTGGGGAGACAGAGGTGAGCACAGCCTCCTTCCCCCTTTATCCTATGGGGGGAGGGGCAAGACAGTACATATGCAAATCTACATGATTAATTTAGATCTCATAGATTCTGCAGTTAAAGGTAAATAAAGAGGAATGGAGGGGCTAGAGAATTGCAGGAGGAATCCACGAAGAAGATGGTCCCAATAAAACTGCGTGCAGGTGTCAAGGAATGAAACCCCAATTCCAGAGTCCTGCTGGAGGCATCCATATGCCACATTCTTGTTCATTGTTATGCAATTAATTAATATAACGCTGGTCATACACCAGATACTGTTCTAAATGTATAATGTGTATCATTTAAAATTTTTGTATTTAATGAATAGACTTTATTTGAGAGTTTTCAGTTTACAGAAAATTTGGTTATGAAAAAAAAATTAGTTATGAAAAAAATTTAGTTACGAAAAAAGCTGTTTCTACATTTTGTGTGTGTTGGGTTCCCATGTACACCCCACCCTCAACCAACAGTTTCCCATATTATTAAGATCTTCCACTGTGAGAATTTGATAACTGATGAATCAATATGGAAACATTATTATGCCACTAAAGTCCATCGCTTACATTAGGGTTCACTCTTTGTGCCTTCTGTAGGTTTTGCCAAACTCATGACGCCATATAGAACATTGTCACTGTCCTAACTGTCCTCTCTGCTTCACTAACCCCTGGCAACCACTGATCTTACTGTCTACACAGTTTTGCTTTTTCCAAAATGTCATAGAGTCAGAATTAATCCCACAGTGTAGTTGCCTTTTCAGACTGGTTTCTTTCACCAGCAATATGCATTTAAGGTTCTCGTGTCTTTCATGGCTTGATAGCACATTTCTTATTATGAATGACATTCCATTGTATGAATGTACCACAGTACCCATTGAACAGCCTCTTATAACTTCTAAGTTTTGATAGTTATGAAAAAAGCTGTTTCTACATTTTTATGTGTATGGGTTTTGGGGAGTTTTTGGTAGATTTTTATGTGGACATAAA